TGTGGCATTAGAGGATTACAAGTCAGAACCGGGAAATTCAGGTCAGAAAACTCAACAAATTTATCAAAATATTGTCAAAACAATTATTTTTTTATGCTATTTTTTTAGATTGTATTTTTTCTCTTTGCTCATATTTATTGATTTACAAGTTTCTGCTATTACATATTATTATATTGTGATAATTTATTTTGTTTTTATACTAGGCCATCAGATGAGAATCACCCTGATGTCAAACCTGATGGTTATGTTGATAATTTGGCCCAAGCTGTGGATTTACTCCTTGAACATCGAGAGAAATAATCCAAATGATGGAAATGAATGAAGGAGTAAAATGCGACTGAACCACAAAATGAGCAGCAATTAAGTTACTGATGAAAACAAGAATGCTTTTGATATTTATGGGTGAATATAAATGCGAATAGGCCATACCAGCGAATACAATAATAACATTACGATGCGCAGGTCATCAGTTGTTCTTACAGAAGATAGGGGTGGGTCATGAGAAATGTGGAGTACAATTGTCTATTGTCGACACTCAAGGATTTACTGGTACACGTTCATTCAGTTTTATACATACATTACGTCAATTAAAGCAATTTACAGAAAATATCCTTGTCATACTAAAAGAAGAAACATTGTTTTATCTGATACTCAGTATTAATAAATAAGTTATCTCACATCATAATGTTGTTACCAGCTGTTAAAGTGCCAGTCTTTGAATTTCATGTAAATAAACAATGTATACACATGCGTTGTATACGTCGTTATGAGTCCTGAAGTTAATGCTGATTGGTAGAGCTTGTATCACAAAAAAGGCCCAGACATGTGCTTTACATTTGATTTTTTAAAATCAATGGGGCCTTCAATACCTGCCAAGTGTACTGGTGCATCCCATTTTGAAATGCATCTCCCTCTATGGCAGCTTTGAGAAAAACTTTCTATTTACTCTTTCGTCTTTCCATAAAACGTATAAACCCTTCAGGTTCAAGCAGTCTTTTTTTTCTGATGCTATTTGTTGCCAGGAATATGCAGAATCATCTATTTTTACTGAATGGGACAAAATTAATATTTTTTTATAAACTATAAACCTTAATCTTCCTCAGATCTATTTTTAATAGACATCTGAAATTTGCTATATTTAACAAATAATCTCTTCACTTTTAGTAAATATAATTGTACATGCTGGTCTTTACTTTAAAATTGGGTTTATCTGTTCCTGCAATTGTAAGCCAGATGTTTTTGTCCCCATACTGACAGTCTAAAACAGGACTATCAATTGAGTTCTGTTGATCCATACATGCATCTGAAGCCCTTTCTCCAATGTGCAACAGAATTCTGTCAAATTGATACGTGTCATACATACACACACATGCATGCATGTCAGTTTTGTTTACATTCAATAAACATGACTGTCAAGCAGCCATTTTTGAAAATTGGCCTAAACCCTAATACCGTACTTGAACATGTCTGGCTGATTTCATTGAATCTTTGTTCGAGATGACTGAAAGGTGTTGAAGCTTAATCTTGGTGATAGCAAGACATCCTTAGGTCCCTCTCACTCCCTAACCATGCTCCCCCTCCCTATTGTAACTGTATACCAGGGGGTATGCCCCTCTTCAGGACACGTACAGTTATCTGGAGGGGCATATACAATTATAATGGAGGCTTGAGAGGTTATGAGCCTTAAAGCGCGAGGGTCGTCACCTGCGGAATTGAGTCCCAAGCGACGATAACACGTGCTAAAAACGGAAAGACTCGTGGGTGGATGCTTGTTTGTAAACAATGACACGCTATGGCCATCTGACTTGTGCGCAGGTGACGACTCCTCGCTTTAAAGATTCAATTCACACAATTTCAAAAGCACCCTGTCACAACAACTTGTCATAATTGCAGTGCAGGTAGGTATACTAGATCTTGTGTTGCCTTTGCTCCCAACAGTTTCCAATTTGCTCATTTCACTGTTGACAAGTATATTATGTTTTTGATTTCAAACACTAGTCATTCAGCCAAATATCATTTACTAAATTCTTTTATTGAATTCCGAGTACACCACTACAAACGCACAACATATTGAAAATGCTTTTAAAAATATTACCTTTTTATTTTGATATTTATTCACATCAGACCATCACCTAGAAAGAACACTTCAAAAAAATTGCTTCGCTGAGTCAGCATTAAAATTGCATTTACCATCAAAAACAAAAAAAATACTTTGGTTGTAAAACAAGTCTATGACTGTCCCCACATGTTCAAGGTTATGTTCAGAAATCGTGATGTGTCGAAGTGTGAGCACAACTGGTACAGACATGGTTCTTTTAAAATCTATGCATTCACCAATTTGTCTTGGCCGACAACGTTCTGGAATGGTTAAAGGGCATGATTTTTGATGAATTGAACCATGTGCTAGTAATGCACACATGTACCGAGATGTACTACATATGCGCACAATGCCATGTGAATACAGTCAGCCACATGGTGTATTAAAAAAAAGGCCACTTGTCAGCCATTTGTGATGTAAGAGCTTATAACAAAAATGACACAAGACATCTCATCATGAAATGAATGCAGATGAATATTATGATATATTATGCATGTTGGAACAGACAGGTGCAGAGGACAATTTCTGTTGTTGACTCCGTCTGATGAATGCATTATGACCAAATGATAATGGATTCTTGCATATGTGGTAATAACAGACGACCCATAGACACACAGAAACAGTTGCATCATTTAAAAGTTTGTGGTATCCATTTCGAATCTGCTCAAAACACAGTTGAACTATTGTATCATTTTGTTACTCAAAAAATTACACTTGTTAAACGCTACAGTCGTCAAGCAACGCAAGTTCAAATTTTGTGTAAACAATGTATTTAACATGCGTTGTTTACGTCACTACAGGTCCGATATCGAAAATATCACAGTGCGATGACTGATGCACTTTAAATGCAGTTCTCAACCGGTTTGATGGTAATTCACAGTTCATAACTGTGCACGCCATGTACATCTAAACTACATGAATGTTATATAGAGTAGAAAACAAAAACTGTACACATCAGAAATATCCATGAGAAAAGTATTATTAGTAATCAATTCAATCTTTAAAATTCAGAGAAAATCAACTTCTTGAATCAAGAAGAAAACAATATTTCTTGAGAACATTTTTCAATATACAACAACCCTAATTCTACATTATTTTTAAATGAATCATATCACTGTAATTCTACTGCTGTGATTGGTTGAAACTAATCATGTGTTAGATGCAATGCATTGTGGGTTTGTATATTACAGCTTGCATCTTTTAGTACAGGTGAGATACAATTCCTCTATCTCAATAAACCTAGTTGTTTGATGTTGTAGCTGCAATTACAGAAAGTGATAGGTACAACAAGTAATTCGATCACAATAGAGATGGGGTTCATAACTGAATTGAAATCCAAGCTACCAGAGGTTTGACTTAGATAAATGAGGTTCCCTGATGAGAATGTGATTAGCCTGGTATTTATCACAAAATTAAAAACCTTTTCAGAAAGTTTTCTTTTATGATAAACATTCGCCTTACAGCGTGCATTCAAATTTTGGGAAAAAATGCATTGTATATCATAAGTCGTACAGAACCTGTATTGTGGTATTACTACTGCGATGTGTTAACCTTTTCACCACCAGTTCTCTCTTTTCATCACAAATTCACGAAATAGTCTTGTATACAGTCTGCACTTTCCTTCAGAAGATTGGAATAAAAATAGCCACATTTTTCGAGTAAAAACTGAAAATTTACTAAAATTTTGCCCGTTGGCTCCAAAATTAGGGTTCATTTCCAGAAATATTGGTCTGGCGGTGAAGAGGTTAACCCTTTGAACCACATAGAGGGACTGTGTTTGAACATAATTTTTTCTAATTTTGGAAATGTAGTTTACTGGTCAAAATGAGTGGGTTTGAATTTGCGAATATCGACAAACGCTGACCAGCATAGGGTCACAATATGAGAAAGTCAAATAATGGAAGATATCAAGAAAATCAAACAAGCTTACACTATTAACAGAAGCTGATGGATACAGATGAATGTCAATTAAACATAACCACACAACTTATTTTCTTTGCAGTAGTAAGTGATAAACTGACCCATGTGTGATTCTTTCAGTCAATTCTAAAGTAAGTGCCATATTTATACATATTTTTCATTTCTATAATTCGAAACACTGGTTATAGTAAAATAATAAAGACATCGTATGCATGTTTCAAACAAAAACAAACAAAACAATATTTCAGCTCAGGCCACTCACTATTTAAACTCTGATATATTCAGGTCTATTTCAAAAGCTCTGAACTCGCTATTGCACTTGAAGTTGTTGAAGGTACTTTAGATATCGAAAGGATTATCAATGTCGTCCAACAACAAACAATGATTTTCATATAATTTCATAAATGAATTGAAAAGATCAGTCATCTTTTCATATAAAATAGATTATACAGAAAAATTGGGAAATTGTGTTGTTGTAAGTCAGTGACTGTAGCTTATGATAATGTGATCATGATAGCTTTGTGACATCTTGGATAATTTGAAGTATCTTTGGCAGAATTACATTCATTATAGATTTAAACCTGCTAATTAAATGTTCTTAAAAATTATCAAAACATGTAAAAACAAAAAGAGATAGTAAACAGCAGTTTAATAAAATAAATCAGGTTTTGATTGATCAAAATCACAAATTTCATAAACCTCTAGATTGACAATTCTGTGGTGTTAGAAAACTTAGTGCTGTACTTGAGTACCAATCAGGTGGTATAATGCCGCACATCGATCCACATGTACCGTAATATCTGTATTAGAAGCCCCATCCCTAATAGAAGTCGCTCCCATTCTTTTTGCACAATTGTGAACCAAAAATTCACCATTTTTCATTTGTGTAGATGCTGTAATAGAAGCCGCATCCCCTTCTGTTGCATTGTACCATTTTAATAGAAGCTGCGGCTTTTAATACAGATTTTACAGTAGTGGAAATTTCACACAAAAACAAAGAGTATACTTCCAATCATTGCTGAGTAACTCAACAAGGAAATAATATATACCATATTTGCTCTATTAGAAGTGCATCTCCAATAGAAACACACTTAAAGCAAAAATTGCATTCACTGTATGCTGAGCAATTGAAACTTGTCTTATTTTGACGACAATTTAACGTCAGTCATTTACATAAGCATATGCCCTTCTAACACAACAAATACGATATTCACACAATTATAACAAGCTATGTGCCTGCTTTGAAGCAACATAGATCGCATCAATATTTTTGTACAAATACAAAAATGTAATATACATACATTAATAATCAACTATGGATGGGTTAAACCATCAATCAAAGTGGGATTTGGGTCAGTTTATCATTTAACTATGATTGATTTAAGGGGGGGGGGGGTAAACCCATCTAAGGAGCATCCATAGATGCCGATTTAAACTTGTGTAGGTCTTTTGGTGAACCTTCACTCAAAGACGATGCCCTTGCGAGGCGAGCCATCGGAACTGAAGCCGCTGTAAGCAAGAGAATGAAATAGTTAGAGGCAAAGTCATTTTACTGTAAAATGACTAATTTTCACTAGGTTTAAATTTCGCTGATTTACCATTTCAGGCATATTCAGTGGGTTTTAAATTCACGGTTTTATCATTTAGATAATGTGTTCTATGCTAAATTTTTCATATTTACTGGGTTTTAATTTAGCGCATTTTCCAGTAAAAACTCAGTGAATAATTAATCCCTTCACAGTAACATAAATATAAACTTTTTGGAACCATGGAACTAATCTCTTTTTAGCTCCATGTTGTAACCAATCCACACATCACAAGTTTAACAACATATACAGGTCAATATAACAAACTAAACTGCCTTAAAATTCCACACATATTGTGAGTTACCTATTTTGAAATAAAATAAATGTAAATGCAGTTGACTGGGCCATTCAAATTCAGCTTAGAACTCCAATGCATTTATAACATCCATTGTGAATGGTCGCCAGTGTTGTTTCGGCTTAAACTTGGTCATATTTAAGCCAATTTACGTCAACAAGTTTGTCCACACTTGTTTTTAAGCTAGCATTACCGTTAAAATCCCATTATAAACCGCATACCTAATAGTAATCGCATCCCTGATTTCGGCTTCAGTATTGAAGAGTTCTCAACAAAAATTGAAAACATGAAAAGTACCTATTACTAACCGCACCCCCAATTCAACGAGACCGTGACTGACTTTGTTTCAACCAGCTGGTACATTGTTCCTAATCGTATTCATTTGTTTCGACAACGTGCCTAAAAATGTTCACACCTCTTTATTGTTCAGTAGTGTTAGGATGTCAAACATGCCGTGAAACTGCTTTTGTTCTTGCGACAACTTTTGTCAATATTCTTTATGAATACGTCCGTGTGTCGCACGTTTTCGACAATGAGCTGTTATCACTGAAAAACTGTTAAATTCTTTTTCAATGCTCAGTTTATCTTTCGAAAACAACTAATTTCTTGATTTAAAAAAAAGTCGTGTCGTTTTCGCATGGAAATCAAAGCCAAAAGATCGCACTACATTATCGGTAAATCACTTCCGCGTTTCGTTTACCATGAAGTCGGTGACCTGTCATTAACATATTTAAATGAACTAAGGTGGTGAACTAAGGTGAACACGTGGGCACCATCCAGCATTTTGATTGGTTAATTAGCGACTTGACCTATCCGGTCAAGTAACGTCTTGTGTGCATTCAGACTACATGGCGGATGTCGTATCGTACATTTACATGTGACCGAAATAATTTGCTTACGGTGAAACTAAGTTGAATTTTACTTGCATTTGATAACAATTCAACGAATTTATTTTTCGTGGGTTATTATAATCACTACTGAGTAATAATCAACAATTTCAACACTTCGAAAACAAGTAAGTTATTCACTTGTGAGCCAAAGCATGGCCGGATTGCGTTACCGTACCCACGGCACTGTACTTTTTTAGTGCCGTACCATGATCATTTTCTACTAAGCAATGCATTAATGTTTGTTTTTATTTGAAACTCGTGTCAGAATATTCTATCCGTTACGAAGAAGATTAAAAAAAATAAATGCATATTACATTAAATATACTGAGTATTTTTTTCATGTGAATAGTTTTTTATGACGTGCCGCTTATCACTCTTCCCTGACAACTAAATTGGAGTTACGCTTATATTCAAAAGATTGTACGGTGTATTGTTTGTTTTGTGCAAGTGATGTGGAGAAAAAATGACCACACCCATTTAGTGATTGAAATATGTACGTAATAGAAACCGCACCCCGAACTTGAGCTGTTGATCCCAATTTTTTATTTGATACATTGTAATATAAACCGCGGTTTATAATAGGATTTTAACGGTACATAATAGTTATGCCAGTGCTGGTACCACCCTTTCAAGGAGGCTTAAATTCAGACATATTTAAGCTTCTTTTACGTCGACTTTAAGTGTTCACATCTATTTTTCAGATACGCAGATGTAAATTATGTCAGCAAAAAGGGACACAAATAATACAGATGTGAACATGATAAAAAGGACCTGCGTACACACATGCTTCAAATTACAGGCTATTCAAACAGGTAATCTGAAGCATGCACTCGTACACCAAAATTTTCATTATTTCATCAAATGAATACTGCAATATTTGCTGCCCCAATGCAACTTGTATTTCACGATAAATAATTCTCTTTTGTATCTAACTAGATAGAATATCGAATGGTAATTTTTGAATATGCTAAAAAATACGCATATCCAAACTGCCTCTACTTGAAGAACTCACCCAATCCAATTCCTTGCAGAAACAGAAGGAAACTCTCAGCTAGTTTGAAAGGCTTTAAGAAAAAGAAAAAAAGTGGTTGTTAATGACATAGTCCTTGTTCAGTATTGTGTGTCACTGAAAGATCTAAAGGAGTATGTTCACAATTGCTAGGTTCACACACAGCCGAACTATTGCTTAACAAGAGATTATATCTTGTGCATTTATATGGTTATGGCCAAACATGGTTTGTTAAAGCTGAGCTGTAACAGGCCTTTGACTTGGGGGAGGGGAGTGTCAGGACATGTTGGGGCTCCGTTCTATCAACCTGGGGGGTAATTTTTGCTGGCTCAAGTCAGCTTCAGCTGTTTAGCTTTGATAAAATGTTGTTGTGTAAACACGGTAATCTAGATTCTAATTAGGAACCATAAATATTAAATATATTGAATCGCAAAACAATTATGAATGGTCCACCATTTCAAGCTTGTATTCCAAAAAACAGCTGTCAATTCATATGATGAAAACAATTCTACACTGGAAAATGCTACAATTGATCAGAACAACAAATGTTTAAGTGTCTGATCAAAACTTTTCTAAACGATCGTGGACAACTAAAATTCTGACACCAAAGAAAGCTACGACGCTCAATAATTGATGGCCGCTAGTAACAATAATATTTCTTGAAATCTTGTGCTGGTATTGACATTGTGCCATGCTTCATAAAAATTACTCCAACAGATGCACCAATTCCCAAAGTCTTGCATTGTTTTACAACTGTTTTTATATTTATAATCATTACAAAATAGGTAGAAACATGATAATGTCAAATGGCACCAATTTATGAGAGTAGCAACACAGATAGCAGAAAAATTAATTTTTCCAGTTCTCTCGGTGCTAATTTTTTTTGTTTTTTAACCTTTTTTCTTATATTCTTCAATTTTTCTGGAAATGAAACTTAAATTTTTGAGCCAACAAATTTGAGTCAATTCTCGATTTTTACTCAAAAAATCTTCTGAAGGACTATAGTGCAGACTTATAACCTGAACTAATTTATGATGAAAAAAGGGAACTGGTGGTTAAAAGGAAAAATATATTTTGTGTCAATGCAGGACATTGAAATTAATGCTGTCACTCCCCGCTTTTCTGTCTTAGGTGCTAATTAAAGTGCATGTACAAACCAGTGTTCAAAACCCAATACCACATGTAACAGTCAGCTACAGGAATTCAACCTAGAACCTCCCTGGTACAAGACGAAGAAGCTAACCATGTACCAGTGTCCTGGTCCCTCAAATTGCTATTTGCATATGCCATGATTGAGTCTTGGCACAAGGTGAAAAGGCCTGGTCCCTCAAATTGCTATTTGCATATGCCATGATTGAGTCTTGGCACAAGGTGAAAAGGCCTGGTCCCTCAAATTGCTATTTGCATATGCCATGATTGAGTCTTGGCACAAGGTGAAAAGGCCTGGTCCCTCAAATTGCTATTTGCATATGCCATGATTGAGTCTTGGCACAAGGTGAAAAGGCCTGGTCCCTCAAATTGCTATTTGCATATGCCATGATTGAGTCTTGGCACAAGGTGAAAAGGCCTGGTCCCTCAAATTGCTATTTGCATATGCCATGATTGAGTCTTGGCACAAGGTGAAAAGGCCTGGTCCCTCAAATTGCTATTTGCATATGCCATGATTGAGTCTTGGCACAAGGTGAAAAGGCCTGGTCCCTCAAATTGCTATTTGCATATGCCATGATTGAGTCTTGGCACAAGGTGAAAAGGTAAAAATTAGCATAATCCATCATGGTGGATGGTACTTACACTCTCTTCCATTATACTACCACTTGTATCTTCTGCTTTCAAGAGAGTGCTACTTCTCTTGTCTGGGAGGGAGTAAAATAGTTTCTCCTACAAAGAAAAACATTTCAATTGGTAACAAATGCAAAATTATATACAATAAACTAGGTATTTCAAACTCCTGTAAAATACTTTATTTTAGCTGGAATTCATTTTTGCTGAAAAGGCTTTTTGGGTGATTTGTATGGCATTTATTTTTACTTATCTTTGATGATTTTAATGTAAAATATAGGAAAAAAAGCTATATTCGCTGGATTTTATTTTCACTAAATTATTCCTTCAGCGAAAACAGTGAAAATTTTACAGTATTTTATTGAGAAAAGATATCAAAATAATCCTGCCTCAAATGTAAATTTCAACTTCACTTCATAATTCAAAACTTCAGTGAGTAGAGTGAGTGTTGCAGTGCAAGGATTGAGGTCACACTGATAGCAAGGTCATTGACAGCAAAGTCATGATAGTAGGGTCACTGAAAGCAGGATCAACCAACAACACGATCACAAACAATAGGGTCACTTGTAGCAAGGTCGCCGACAGAAGGGTCACCTACAGAATGGACACTGACAGAAGGGTCACTAATCGAAGGGTCACTGACAGCATACTGTTCTTGAGATGTGTTCATTAGTACTTACCACTTCCTTCACATGAGGAGATTGTGTTCCAGTAACTAGTAATACAGGGGTCTTCAAGTCTCTCGCTTTGTTAGTGATATCAGAACGGCTAATAGGAGTAAAAAAAAAAAGATCAATGCTACAGTAGCCTACATCCAAATAGTAAAGAAAAGCAAAAGGTTAATAGCAGCCAAGTTTCGTTTCATCAACTCTGAACACTGGTTTTCTACCTTTTTTCACACACAGAAAGTCAACTTTAGAGAACTTACTTCATGTATACTTGGATATACTGAGATAGATTATGGGCATTCATTCTCTTGTACAAATTCTCATGAAATTCCTGAATCATATTTTTCTTGTCTTTGGTTCTATAATCCTATTTTTAGACAAAAATAACAAATACATAGCAGAGTAATCTGAATAGAGATGTAAACAACAACAGACGATAACATCATCACAGAGGATAAGCATTCTCGGGTTGAACACTAGAATACTACTACATTAGCACATGTGAACAAACTATCATTACATTAATTTATAAATTTCATATCACAGCCAAGAACTATATTATACTAGATGCATGAGAAGTTTCATTGCCTGTACAGGATGCTGTACAAAACACAAATTGGAAATTATAACCAGAGACATCAAATCACTCATGATGGCAGGCCTGACACATAACACAACAACAATGTTTTGACCACGGCTAGCTAAACTTTGTCCATATATGTAGTTCTGACACTGGCAAAGAATTCCATTAGATTTTATTTTCTCTTATGATTAAACAAAGTAAAATAAATTGCAGTGAATATTTAAATTTAACCCTAGAATAGTTTCTTTTGCAAGCTAATTAATTTAAAACCCAGTCAATATCTCTGCAACATCAAACCTTCTGCGGAAGATTACTAGTTTATTTTTAAGACAAAGGATAGCTTTCATATAGTTACAATTATGTTATCTATTGCCACTGTATGAAATGAATGAGAGATTTGTCACATATGCATTTCACTGACATTCATATTAACACATGTAGGTAAGGAGGTGGTACAGACTTACTGAGTGCAGGAAATATACACATTATGTACCTATGTGTGTGTAAGCAGATACAATACACCAGGGTGACATACAGATTCCAGTTGAAATGTGGAAAATTTTCAGTCCAACATGTTTTATTATCAATCTGGGGGTTCAACCATGAAGTTTTATCGACCACTCTGTAACTGTCAAAACCTGTCCACTATATGGTTTGAGCAGTTGTCTTTGTTTTTTAACAAAATAGTTTGTTCAAAGTTTGCAGAGTTTTTCCCAGACCAGAGTCTCCAACATTTAAATCACAATTGTTTCAAGAATTAAGACAAACAATGACCAGTTGGTGAAAGTCGCTCGTTTGTCGCCACTGATTACATATGCCATTACTGTAAATTTGACGACAAAAATAAACAGAAAATACCGGCACCAGCAATATTTATAAATTCCGATTGCTTAATTTCCACTGTAAACAAGCTTAGGTAAAAATGCCACGAGCTAAATGAAGGTGTAGTATACTGTGTATTTTGGTACTGAATGCAAACAAACAGAAACATAGTGTTCTGAATAGCTTTTCACCACGATGTTTATATACCAGATACATATTTTGTTGTTTTCCGTACTTTTGAATCTTTTTATGGCAATTAACAGAAAAAACGTTGTATATTCCTTCTTTTTTGGCATTCACAAACATTTTTCCAGAATTCCAGGACACTGTGTAGCAAGTAGTGTGTAAAATGTAACCACACAAATCACAGCACAGGTGAGTAGTATTATTATTAGTATTATTAAGCATTTCTGTATACAAGAAACACAACATCAATCTAATAATTTTGTTATGGATTATTTTATATCGACAAATCAACTTTCTTTTAGATATACAGCAATTATTTGTTGAACTTGTTATTTCAACTAAAATTGAACACACTGGTTACCAAGCATGTACAACTCATTATTGATTTTTTTTTTAAATGTAATTCACCTAGAATATCACATAAACAATTGATTTCCAAGCCTACCAAATATAATATTCAAATTATTAATATTTCAAATTATTTTAATTGTGAAAATGTTCGAAATAAATAGAATTCCTTAGTAGTGAAACAGATGGATATGCAGTTTGTGTTGCGAAACGTTCTTGCAAATAAATATGTAAATGAAATGCAAATTAATATGAATGTTTATGTAAATTAGCACACCCATGAACTATTTTGGATTGTGAAAAACAGCGTCACTGATTGACTTCACATCATACACTTATACAAGGTCTACTACTGCCTACAGAAAATACTAATTTAAGAAACATAGTTTTGTTGAGAACTGTAGCCAGTCTTGTCATGATGGAATATTCACTGTTCAAGTCAGAAAGTCAGAAAGAACCGCATAAAGAATAAAATGAGATGCAAATCAAAGACCCAAATGATGAGAAGAATGTGCATATCATCTATCATATATGGCATAAATAACCTTGGTCACCCTTGGTGTACTTCTATGAACTGTTTATCACTCTAGGTGTACTTCTATGAGCTATCTCGCCCTAAGTGTGCTTCTACGAATTGTGTCACCCTAGGTGTGCTTGTATGAAGTGTTGTCACCCTAGGTGTACTTGTACAAAGTGTTGACACCCCAGGTGTACTTGTGTAAACTGTCACCGCCTTAGGTGTGCTTCTGCAAACTGTGTCACCCTAGGTGTGCTTGTATAAACTGTCGTCACCCTAGGTGTACTTGTATGAGCTGTCGTCACCCTAGGTGTGCTTGTATAAACTGTCGTCACCCTAGGTGTGCTTGTATGAACTGTCGTCACCCTAGGTGTGCTTGTATGAACTGTCATCAACCTAGGTGTGCTTGTATGAGCTGTCATCACCCTAGGTGTACTTGTATGAGCTGTCGCCACCCTAGGTGTGCTTGTATAAACTGTCGTCACCCTAGGTGTGCTTGTATAAACTGTCGTCACCCTAGGTGTGCTTGTATGAGCTGTCATCACCCTAGGTGTACTTGTATGAGCTGTCGTCACCGTAGGTGTGCTTGTATAAACTGTCGTCACCCTAGGTGTGCTTGTATGAGCTGTCGTCACCCTTGGTGTACTTGTATGAGCTGTCGTCACCCTAGGTGTACTTGTATGAGCTGTCGTCACCCTAGGTGTACTTGTATGAACTGTCGTCACCCTAGGTGAACTTGTATGAGCTGTCGTCACCCTAGGTGTACTTGTATGAGCTGTCGTCACCCTAGGTGTACTTGTATGAGCTGTCGTCACCCTAGGTGTACTTGTATGAGCTGTCGTCACCCTAGGTGTACTTGTATGAGCTGTCATCACCCTAGGTGTACTTGTATGAGCTGCCGTCACCCTAGGTGAACTTGTATGAGCTGTCGTCACCCTAGGTGTACTTTTATGAGCTGTTGTCACCCTAGGTGTACTTGTATGAGCTGTCATCACCCTAGGTGTACTTGTATGAGCTGTCATCACCCTAGGTGTACTTGTATGAGCTGTCGTCACCCTTGATGTACTTGTATGAGCTGTCGTCACCCTAGGTACGCACATTTAAACTGCATCAAACATACATGTAATCTACCATACAGAGTACCCAGCTTTTTGCGCAACTCATTAACACGCCTGGTGGGTGATGAGCAGTTTCGGGTAGGGCTGGATGATGATGAAGAAGAAGAAGGAAGACAAATCTATAAAGGCAGGGAAAGATAAGTGCAGAAAATGAAAAAAAGACCAATAAGGTTATGATCAGTAATGCAATGCAGCAATTTATTATGTTAGTAGCTATAATACAAGATAGCACCCTCTACCAGGTTATAAGATAGCGCCCTCTATCAGTTGATTATGCCAAATAAGTGGAGGGCAGCATAACACTATTTCTTAGATTGCGTAGAGGCCGATGCAAGTTGTTAGTGAAAGAAAGCAGAAAAATGAATGAAGAGTTTACATCAAGCCTTATATTCAACATTCCTTTCTACCTAGAGTATGAAAATTAACCACTGTCAACTATAAAAATTTTCCCAAGATTCCAATAAATAAATAAAATATTGATCAACAGGCAGTGTCACATTCCTCCCAGTTCAATTACTTTTAAGTTATCACTCACATATAATCCAATGTGGAATCATTTAAGTGTTAGACAACCCATGTTATCACGCCTTCTTGTTTCAAAACAGACTTTCAAAACTTTTGATGGTGACTATGCAAGGTTGGCAACACTAGAGGGCGCTATACATAGCCCTCTGGTGGTGGTGGTGGTGGTGTTACTCGTATTATCACAATCTAAAAGGTTTGTTAGATTCCATCCACCACAGAACATGTGATTACTATTAGTATTGTGAGTAGTAAAGACATGCTGCTTATTGAAGGGGAGAAAATGTAAAAACATCAATGGGTTTCAGTTACCTCCGATTCCTACAATGTTGAACGGATGTGAAAAAGATGGAAAACAAACATTAGATTTAGCAACATAGACAACAATATTTAATGGACACTTATTTTCAATAATCAAGATGGAAATGTGAATCAAAAGCTTCATCAATGGTGAACCATTAATGTAAAAGGCAAATCAAAATTTCTGGTTAATTTTGAATATCACAGATTGAACTGGGAAACTGTTGAATTGTTGAAGCTTAAACTTCTCGTTACAACTACACAATTCCAATCTACAGGAGAAATAACCACATTGATTTCCTGTGAGTACATACATACTGCCAGGGTTTCTAAATCAATACAAATAGCATAGCAGCAACCAGAAGTTAAATCACAGCAAGCACCAAAGAGCTTGAAGCAGTAGAAATGCAGGCAAGCTCCCAGATAGTCTATGAACATCGTATAAATAAGCATTGATGTACTTACAGTGCCAAAATGGTGCCACAGTAGAAACTTTTCAGTTGTTGGATTCATTCCCCTATTTAACAACTGCCAGGCTGCAACCTGAAACAAAATTGACAAAGATGATGAAAACGATAACGACAGACATAACTTGTAAATTGTTAGCATTATGAGCAAAGTAATCTGCGCAGAAGGTATTGTTTTTAGTTCATAATAAACAGAAAGAGAAATGTAATTTATTTTACGTTTTTCAAAACTTTGAATACTACACATGTATGGTTAACCTAGCCAAATTGTTGGTATAACATATTGCACATTTTTTCCCACTCGAAAGATTGTTCACACTTTCTGTAATTTTTCACTGAATTCAATCTTGAATTTGGACTGAACAGACCACAATGTGACATTGCTTCAAGTTTCTGATCAAAAAATTTGAAATTTTTGGAAACATTTTTTGAAGAAAAGAGCAGACTATAAATGAAACTATTTTGTGGATGGTGCCAAAAGTTGACTTTGGCTGTGTCAGAGGGGTAAATATAAGATCAAATTAACATAATATACCATCACCTTCATGGATTATTGAAATTGTTTTATAAAAACTAATTTACTTTGGTGATCACATGATTAATAAAGTTTTCATTTTCGAAGACTATGAAAAGAGTGACTACTGCTACATATTTCATTGACTTAATTGGTGAAAGTCTCGCCAAATTAAAATGGTTCCTCTATTTAGATTGAATAATTTTACAAGGCATGATGGGAAAATCAACAGTTTATAGCTAAGCTAAACAGTAAATGGCTTACCTTCTCTTGACCCCATTCCAAAAAGCCAGAAGGGTTGGCATTGCACTCCAATAAGCATAGACCAAGAACTCGCCTTGGATAACTTATCTAGAAAGCAATGAAATAATGTAATGTAATGCAATACAATAAGAACAATGTCAAGTAAATTACCAAAAACACATATGTCTTGCTTTGAATCCAATTCAAATTTTAACAAGCCATGCATGGCACAGTCCACATTAGTTATCAAATACAATTTGAACATAATCAGTCAAAGCATGGTAGAGATATAGCACTAGAACTGCATTCATTAAATCAAAATGGCCACCAGTCGGCCATTTTAAATTGGATCTGAAAAATAAAATGATGTGCATCAATAATGTCCAACGTATGTACCAAGTTTAAACAAAATCCATCCATAAATGCTTGATTTTGATGACTTTTTAGCACGAAAATGGCCATCATTCGGCCATCTTGAATCAGATCGTGGAACAAATTGATGTGTATATGTATAATATTATGTATGCTGTATGTGTGATTGTGATAGATCCAGGCATGTCTAAGATACAGGTCCGGACACAGGCACACATGGCCGCACAAGGTCAAAACATAAGTCCTCGTTTTCGGGGGGAAAAATGGCCGTCGGTGGGCCATTTTGAATCAACTGGTAAAACAAAACATGAATCAGTAAACCAATAGTGATGTCAATGGCAAGTTTGAATGAAATTGCCAACACATATCTGAGAAATGTAAGTTGATGCAGCAAATTGTTATGTTTCATGCTTTTTTTGACCACAATGCCACCAGTTCATCAATAATCAAACCCAAAAACAAACTGACATGCATATGTATGCTAATAGAAACTGTCCATGTACAAACTATCATTAAAAGGCACAACGGAGAAAGTTCTCTGAACCAGCACACAGACAGACAAAATCCTATTTGAACTGAATCTAACAGATGTGCACACAGATGGATGAAAGCATATTTAGACTAAATCTGACAGATGCGTGCACAGATGGACAGGAGCTCATTTGAATTAAATGCAGACTGAAAATTCAACTTACTGTGTATCTCAAAAGTATGCTAGCTCCTGCTCCTTCTCCAAGGCCAACAATGCCAATGTCATTAGCAAATCTAGAATAAAAAAGGTTTAATTTTAAATCCTGCTGTCCACCAAGCATTTTATAAAATGTGTTCTTGCGTAAATATGATTACTTGTACTTGAGATCATGACAATTACAATTCTGAATATACAATGAAAAATATGATCAATGGGGAATACTGTAGAAGTACTGTCTTTTTCGCAAGCATGTCTTTTTAGTGAATTTAGTGAGAAAACTGATTCTCTAATGACTTTATTATAAATTCAAAATGGCCAAGGGTTGGAGATTTGTATATAGTAATCTGGAACATAAAAATCTGGGGCGCTTCCTAATTACATTTGACAGTTTTTCTTTGTTTTTATGGAGGTGATAACTGCGCATTTGTTTTGGGACATGACAGACAAGTATTATGAAAACAGGAAATCAATATTTCGCTATTACGTCATTTTACCACAGTTCGCTATCAAAGAAAGCTTAGAAAGAACTCTCGTGTGCTGAGAGTATTGAAGACACATTAAAAATTAATTCAAAATTACTTGTACATGAGATATTGATGGAAAAGCTGAAAACTAATTATGTAAATAAGGTAACTAATATGAAAGAACAGAACAAAAAAATTATGAATTATTATGCTTTATTATAATTAGAGAATTAATATGAACAAATTTTAACCCAAAATTAATCAGGCCTGTATATTGTCCTAGAGCATTTATATACCAAATTTTATTCAAATGTGATAATCAGTAATTGAGATATCAGTGTTAATTAATTATTATAATTAGGTATTTAATAAGCATAAATATTTACCAAAAACTAATTGGATCTCTGCATAGTTCTCTTTAAAAGTTTCATTAAAATCCAATTCATGGTTCTTTATATATCAGTGGAACATTATGCAAATTAGGTAATTAATATCCAATTAAGGTAGCGGGACTATTATTTGCATACTTGTTTTCATCTTCTAATTGTGACTGAATGACTACAAATAGATCCGGGAAAGTATATATTTTTAGAATCGCCAGACTTCAAGCTTTTCACAAGTGTATTTTGCATGCCCGTATCTGCATTCTACGACGCGTTACTCAATCAAAGGTGAAAAATTACTTTTTCTGTAAAAAAAATAATTACGCATTTATGCTGGTGGTAAGAAGTATTTTTTTCACTTTTCCTAGTTGTTCAATAGTCTGGTAAATTGAATGTGTCTGGTCAGTTTTATTCAAGCAACGCGTTTTAAAAAATAGTGTGCTGAATTTCAATTACTGTTTTAGTCGCATTGCCACCAACTCAAACCACAACT